TAATTTTATTAATGAAGAATGTGGCAAAGTCGTCAGCTGTTAGAGTTGATGAAGGAGGGGGAGGAGGAGGACAAAGTAGTGAGGAAAATGTTTTAAAGAGCATGCGAGAGTTAGACGAATTGTTAATTTTGTTATGATAGTATGTCCTTTTAGCAGTGGAGACATTAGCAGAGAAGGAAGAGAGGAGTGATTGATACATATTAAGATCAGTAGTATTTTTTTATTTGCGCCACACCCTTTCAGCAGCCCTGAGCTTAGTACGATGTTTGCGGAGAACATCACACAGCCAAGGGGCAGAAGAGGTGATACGGCCTGGCCTGGAAGACAAGAGGCAGACAGTGTCTAAACAAGATGTAAAAGTGGAGCATAAATTATCAGTAGCACTGTTAAGTGTAAACTGTTTAAGGGGAGGAAGCGAAGATGAAACCATAGCAGATAGCCGGGAGGGTGAGAGAGAGCGTAGGTTACGTCGAAAAGTGACATGTGTAGGGGTATGTGTTGTGTCAGGAACCATGTTGAGGTTAAGAGTGAGGAGGAAGTGATCGGAGGTGTGCAGTGGAGTAACCAATACATGATCATTGGAGCAGCGTCGTGTGTAAATAAGGTCCAGTTGGTTGCCTGATTTGTGAGTAACTGTAGTTAGCACTCTCTTGAGATCAAAAGAGGCAAGCTGAGTGTGAAATAATTAATTAATGAGAAAAATGATAAAATTAATGAGAATTAGTTGACATGTAGTTGCATAGTTACTTATAGTTAGTAGAATGTCTAAAGTGGACTATCAAAATAAAGTGTAACTGAAACTCCTAATTTTCTGCTTATTAATAGTTAGTAATATAGTTGTTAAGTTTAGATATGGGGTAGGATTACAGGATCTAAAATATGGTCATGCAGAACAAGGCAATAATATGTGCTTTACAAGTACTAATAAACAGCGAATATGCTAGTAATATGCATGCTAATAAGCAACTAGTTAATAGTTAGAATTGGTCCTTATTTAAAGTGTTACCAAATATGTTCCCGTATTTCTCCCATATTTTTAATCTTTCTATTAAACAAATCCCACTGGGTGTATTTGATTATCATACTCGAAGCTGGAGGGCACGCTTGTGCAGAAAGTCCAAAACGAACTCATATATGTAATAATTTATGACGTGCCAGGAAATCACTATATGGACAAAGGCAACCAGCGATCGCTATAGCTAAGTTTAATAAAAAATGTAAAGGCAATACATGCATGATTGCGACAATATATGGTATATGTGTGTTTTTCAAGTCATCTCCCTAATAAATAAAGTATCTGGATGATGCAGTGCTAACTGACAAAGCAGTTATTACAGTAGCCTATAAAAACTATAAAATATATTTTCTGCCTTATTCTGTGATAAATATGTTAAATAAAATTTGTAGTATATAAACTAATCATAAAATTGCCATTAGAGAAATATAGGAAAAAAACAGTACAGAATACAAATTGTTGTCATTTGATTTCTTAGCCAATTAAAAGTAAGAGATAAGAAAAATATCCCGGTTCAGTCTCCCGGATTTTGGTACCCAAATGTTGACAGGTATGTGCATATCGTGTGAAGATTGAAAGTCAACATGAAATCACGAAAATGTTAACTTTAGTGCTAACTTTTAAATAAAACTAGTTCTGAAATCACTTTTTTCTTTTCTTTATAATGCTATAATGCATTATTACAGCAAACTCTCATTTGGTATGGCTACTTACATTAACTATAACACCCACTTTTTACAATCCAATAATCAGTTACTAATAAATAAAGTACAGTTTTCCTCACTGGAAATTCTCTTTCACATGGAAAGTCACATTTCACATCTGACTTTAATGGTGTTAGAACTGCTGGAACTGAATGAGATAGATGTTTAATTCCATTTGGTTGCAAAGAAAAACATTGTGTATCTTTCTAAATGTTTGTTTGTTTCTTTTATCATCTAGAGTGTAAAGGCTGACAAGGATGTGGCTTATAAAATGGCTAAAAGGAGGTAGGGGACATTTTTACTATTTAATTTAAGAATAAAAGAATCAGCCTCTAATGCATTGGTTTTGAGTGCATTTTTAACAATGCTAAGTGTGTGGGTAATAAATGTTTTCCAACATCTTCAGGCCATCTCTTTCACCCCTAACGCATTGTAATGGTGTGAAACCCCTTTTCCAAACAACTCCTGCAAGCCGTGTTGAGAACCCGACCCCTTACTACGCTCTTCCTCACGGAGTGGATCCGGGGCATTGGGGAATGGTTGGAAGCACTGCTGCAGACTGGAACGCTTTGAACTTCCCACCTAACCTCCCACCTTCACCTTCCACGTCTCATGCAAATTCTCTTCATCTGTCTCATAGACGGGCGACTTCATCACATTCTGACGAGAGTAGATCTTTAGCAGACATACAAAGACCTCAACAGCCTTCAGTCTCGGCCCAAGCAACTTTACGGGGAGATTCTTGTGTTTCACGTCTAGCATTTGACAGAGTTAAATATCAACAGACTAACACTGCGCCACATTGTCCTGTGCTCTCACAAGAACAAGTAAACCAGTTCAGTTTAGCCATGACACAACCTTATAGTTTACCAAATTGCCCTTTGAATGCAAATTTGATGCCTCCGCCTCTCTCGGTTCAGGCTTTGACGCATGTCCCTATGCCCAGCACGATTACAGCAGTTCATTACCCCTACTTCCTTCTGAATGGACAAACATACACCACAGGCTCCACTGCAGCCATTCACCCTGATACTAGATATTACCCTAACACCATTTAGGGCTAATGTACTATGAGCTATGAGATTGAATCACATGTGAGTCAGTTTTATTAATGAAGTGAAGTGAAGTTAAGTGATGTGTGGCCAAGTATGGTGACCCATACTCAGAATTTGTGCTTTAACCCATCCAAGTGCACACACAGTATAAACACACACACACACACACCGTGAACACACATCCGGAGCAGTGGGCAGATAATACAGCTAAATTATATCAAATAGCTAGTTTAACATCTTAAAACTGATTCACAAATGTAGTTGGTGCTTTTAAGCAAATGTACTTTAATGTGACGTAAATTCATATATGATACATAACATACATTTTCTGGTAAAACCTTCCATGTACTGTAAATAACAATGTTTTGAGAGTTGATGTTCAGTTACTTTATTGTAGTATTTATTGCAATTAAAAATTTGTAAAAAGTTAACATGAATAAAGAAATGATCCGGCGTAAAACATGTGCCAAATCAGTTGTGTGGATCACTCTGCTGTGGCGACCCCTGATAAAGGGAATAAGCCGAAAGAGAGAGAGAGAACATGAATAAAGAAATGGTTTGATAATTCTACATATTCAAAGAAAAATTGATCTGCTTTATACTGGCCAATTAGCCTACTTAATAACAATGCTGCATTCAAATACTGTTTGTGACCTCTTACATATTTATTTCATTAGAAATTCATTAGAAGCATGATACTTGCATTACATTACTAGACTACACTGATTCTGACACAGATCCAGTAATGCAATCTTGGCAGCTATTTTACATAACTCAACAGTATCACTCTGCTGAGTTTTATTACTTTGCTGTTTATAAACGTGTAACTTGTAGGGTGATATATATACATCGGGTAAAATAAGTATTGTACAAGTCCCTTTGGATAAATGCGTCTGCTAAATGACTAAATGTAAATGTGTGTATATATACTGTATATGGGGTCCATCTTTTGAAAAATGAGACAGCTCCATTTGTTTTAATTTTTTGTTTTGTTTTGTTTTTATTCCATTTTTAAACATGACTCTTAATTATTATTATTATTTATTTGTATTTATATTTTTAAGCAACAGAACACACAAGTTGTGTGTTATCACAAATAACGTGATAATTCCACATGAGTAATTTAAGTAACCAGAATAGTTTAGGCTATTTCTCTGCTATTTCTGTTGGGCGGTTCCAGGCAAATTTATATGCACATTATTTTTGTTTGTATTTATTTAACCCTTGCAGAACATACACAGGGAATCTTGGCTAAACATCATGCATTAGGCGCAGAGATGCATGTGATGTCTTGTGTTTCTGACTGACTGGTTGTACACTGCATGTATAGAATAACTGATTGAAGTGTACAGCTTAACGATGAAAAGATACGAGGCGTCTGAACACATCTATTGAAATCATTTGTGAGTTGTTAGTGGTCTTCCTGGCCGCAGGGGGCAGCACCTTGCGCAGAGCGCTCAGGAGCGTGCCGTTCCGATGACGTCACGGGCGGCAGCGGCCATTACACAGCAGCGCGTTTATGAGGAAGGTCGGAAGCGCGACGAGCCAACGGAAAATCCACCAACGACAGACCGCGGATACCGTCAAACGACATATATCAGTCACCACCAAGTGTAGATGAAACACACCCGTGACGCGGCGTTTCGTGTTTAATGAGCTGATATCCGAGTTTAACGGCGGTGTTTGGTGGTTGTGTTTCGCGTCGGCCCAGCCCAGCGCTCGTTTAATTACCGGAGAATCGGCGAGAATTACCGCAGGATCGCGCCGGTGATGGATGATAAAGCGTTCACCAAAGAATTAGACCAATGGGTCGAACAGCTGAATGAGTGCAAACAGCTGACCGAGAACCAAGTGAGAACACTCTGCGAGAAGGTAAAGAAAATGTCAGGTTTATAATACATTATTAGGTCACATTTATCAATTCATAAACATAAACGATACTATTGGTACTCTTGACGTCACTGCACGTGAACGCGTTGAAAAAAAATATGTATAAATCATTAGGATGTTTATAATCCATAACGCTTCTCTGGACGTCATGTGTGAGATGTGCATACAAACGTACACCGAAATAAAAAAAGAGTAACATTAATATTATTTTTAGAAACTTGTTGTATTCTATATTTATTGAATTAACACCACAGCCAACACACGTCAGGGTGTTAGTGTTCATTGTTGTTGTCAATCTATATAGACAGGCTGTATTTGTTTGTACCTAATTTCTCAGTATCTGTAATTTGTTGCATATATTTTTTACTTACAGTCTGTAGACTTGAAATTGACTGACTGTGTGGTTAAATAGTAACCTCCAGCAACTTCTCGCTATTTACGTTAAAACGGTCACTACCTCTATCTGTGTTTACAAATGACCCTGACCTTACCTCACTAGATGACATCACAGCTGTCTGATGTCATCATGACTCCATAGGCATAGACTCAAATGAATGAGTCTTCAACAGAGCTCTTGGGGAGATCCAAAAATAAGGGTAAACAAAGTTTCATTAATAATCAATCGAAGAAGTGAAAAAGTGCAATCTTTCAGTTAACATAAGGATTAGTGTTGTCTAGGTACCAAAATTTCAATATTCGGTATCAATGCCAGTGAAAATCCACGGTTCTCGGTATCAATTTTGGTAAGGATCCTTTCCTGCAGCTCAAACAGCAGAGCGTGTCTGATAAAATGCATGCAATCAATATAGCATAGTTCTCTTTGGATGAAATGAAATGTAGGAAGGCTTTATCAGGAGTGTTTCACTAAAGTGACACTAAAGAGTCTAAAGTGAAGATGGTTTTCGTTTAAGCATTAAGACATGAGAGGCAGAACTGTTGTGAATTAGCAGGGCACAGCAAGTAACTGCAGTCTATGTGGTATCGAAAGCCTTATTACTTTTATAAAAGTTATTTGCATATTAAAAATTGAGGTCACAGTCATTAAAATGCAAATTCATTACGTCCCATTATTCTGCTTGATCTAATCCTGACATAACAGAACGTTGCCATTTAACAAAAATAATCATTTGTTGTAGGGATGCAACAATAGAGTTAGGTATTCAATACATACCTTATCTTTTTAACCACGGTTTCCGGTTCGGTGCTGATGGCTTGACATCAGTGTTTTTTGCAACAAATTAACAACAAAAAACTACTGTAAACCTCTGTACACTGGCAAAAGCGTGAATTTTTAAGTCTACTTAAAATTTATTTTGAGAGCGGTATTATTTTTCTGATTTTTTTCCCCAAAATAGGATGTATTGGCCATTATTGAGCGCTATAAAGACATGTAATGTGCGTTTCATTCATACTGGTAGCCAAAGGGCGCCCTTGTGCAGAGGATCCACAATGCTGCTACATTGTTCATCCGCATGTTTAGAAAGCCATGTAAAATTAATGTAAGTTCAACTTAAAAAAAAAAAAAAAACATGTCTTGAGACTTTATGGCGGTTTTCCCCATCCCACTGCATCATGTTTTTAAATGAAAAAAGTACTCTTAGTGGTTTGTTTTCGGTCCTTTGTATTAAACTATACATACATACACGATGCTGTTTTATTTCTGCTCATATTTAATTTTAAAGGGCTTTTAAAACCTGCTAGAGATATTCAGCTAAGAGTTACAACTAACTAACTAAAAAAAACAACAACAACTTTTTCTGACGGACTAATATGACATAAACACTATATGACACAAACACTGTTAACCATACATTTGTACATTCTGGTACCGAAATACCGGGTCTTTTGACAACACTAATATGGTTTATAAACATTATTTTAAACATTATACACTTTTTTCAAAGATAGTCATGTTATTTTATTGCTTTGAAGAAACATGCATTAGTAATATTTTGCTCGATGTGCTCTCTTGTGGCCTCAGGAGAGAAGCCAAAAGCTTTTTTCCCACTAACTGAAATTATGCCTTTTTAATTCGAATATGATTCGAATATTGATAATATTTTAGTACAAAATTAGAATTTAGTTTTTCACCCATTTTGACAGCCCTCGAACTGATGACGTTCCAGGAAATCCCTAACATGCTATCGCTGTAACTGAATAAAAAGAAGATATAATGTTAAACATTTTGAACGATGAGACGTAAGGTAGGGGTCAACCGATATGTGTTTTTCAAGGCCGATACCGATTATTACAGATCAAGTAGACCGATAACCGATATTTTGAACCGATATATATGTCTGGTGTAAAAATTAAAATTAATGTCAAAATTAAGAATAACAAGGGCTCTGACAAAAACTGCCTTCCCTGGTGTTGGTTGAGTGTAGTACTCCCACAGTAAACTCTTTATTTTAAAGAGTTAAACTCTTTATTCTTTGGCAAACAAAGGGTTTACCATTAAAATTAAAACATGGAAGAAATAGCGTATTGTGTGATTATTCTTTTAAACAAAAGTTGTAATAATTGTTGTAGTAGTCAGGGGTTAAAGCAAAAAAAAGAAATATTTTGACTGAAAATTTTTCCTCGGCCAAACCCCATTCCTCAGCCATACCTGTCACACACCCAGTTTAAGAGCAGTGTTTTTCTTCTTGTAATCAAGAGCGCTTCCTCCTTAATTACTGTTCTTCAATGTTTAATTTATGTTTGAATAAATCCATCAAGTTTTTATGACAGCCACCATTGTTTATATTTCAAAAAAACGAATTGAAGTAGAAATATTATGTAATTGTAACTTTATTATTTTAAAAACTTCATTAAGTGTAATTTTAACAAATCAGTCCATTTTAACCTTCAGTATTTTAGTAATGTAGTACCAACTGACTCTCATGTATATTTTACAGCATTAGTTGAGATTTTTTTCCTTGAGAAAATTTGGCATGTACTGTACCTGATATATATCCAAAATAATCAATATTGAATTGAATCGAATCGAAATGGTAATCGAATCGAATCGCAAGCTTGTGAATGAGAATCGAATCATGAAATTTGTGTCAAAACCCAGCCCTAATAGACTATATTTACCGCCTCATTCTGTGATAAGAAGCCACATCAGATCACAAAAGGAAGTTATTTCAAACTCTCGACTGATAAGTAAAAACAAGTTATTTTCTCTTTTGTTGGACAAAAGATTTAAAAACGCTTCTCATAGCAAATCATTACAAGGGAA